AGAGAGAGAGAGAGAGAGAGAGAGAGAGAGAGAGAGAGAGAGAGAAAGAAAGGAGAGGGAGAGAGAGAGAAAAGTCTCCATTACTATTATAATTTTATCGCGATATTCGATATGCGGCAAACAGAATTTTCGGTACGACTACTACGTTATATAATAACGTATCGCATATAGCCTATACGGTGAAAGCTCGATCGAACATTTTCAAAGAGAAAAACAGGTCTCACCAATAAGTGCGGCAAACGACAAGCGACACGAATCACTTTGGGATTTGAAAATATCGACGATACAAGCATTAATTGAAAGAACGATAAATCGAGCTCTCACCATATACACATATTGTATTTTTTGTGTACATAACGAATATATACGTATATATGTGTATGTATATGTAGAATGTACGTACGAAGAAACTGACTCGCCGACCACACACACACTGAAGGATATCGACGAGCCGCGTACCGAGCGGAAAGGCTTCCATCGAGGAAACGGGTTTTCCACGGGAAGCTGAGTTTCCTGTGCAAACAAATCGGGAATTCCCTTCCGCTTACGCGAATTTTCCGCCAACGCGTATCTTAAAACGTATCTTAGTACCATAGTTCCATAATCCTCCGGTTTTGTTGCGATTCGCGTGGTTACATCTGAAGTAACTGGTGACTCTGGTCACGACGGTTACACTTGAGCGCAAGGAAAATAGTGGGGAAAAACGACGGAGGGGAAATATTATTAAAAAAATATCATTATCGCGTAGTTTTTAAGTAGAAACGTGTACCCACGCGATAAATATATGGCAGCGCAACACTGTTCCCGCGTTAAAAGGATTTAATTTCGTACTCCCGATATGTATCTTTACAGTTGGCCGAAATCATGAATTAATCTTAGTTCTGAGGTTTCCTCTGAACAGCATCGTCGTCCGACTTATTGTTACGGGAAGATCTACCGGCGCGACGAAAGAAATTGCATTTACATATCTGAACACATTGAAATCTTTGTCTCCCGTTCCCATCGTGCGGAACCGTGAGACACGAATAGGATCTCTGAGTAACCGTACGCACGCGAACAAACGCGAAGATTACGCGGAAGTTTTTAAGAGTAAAACGTATCCTACGTAAACCGTCAGCTCGATGCCAAAACGGAGTATCGTCCGGCCAAGCACATTTACGGGGCACTCACGCGAGCACCGGCCAAGGTAGTAGGTAAGAGGAGCGAGGGGTCGAAGTGGGCGCTTCACACAGATGCGCCGAGACGAGGGTGCCCGCTGGCGACTCTCTACCCTTGAGCCACAGGACACTGTCAGACGGACACGCCGAACGCGCACCGCACTGAACCCGCGTTTATTTAGTATGACGCAAGAGAAACACACGTAAGGTAAAACCGAGGTGGCAGCCGGTATTCGGGGTACCACGTGCACTGGAGTTCCCGACACTGGAGTTTCTTCTCGGGGCGGAACGAACGGCGGAATCGTGCCGCGCCAAGTAGCAGCAGCAGCAGCAGGACGATGCCAAGGAACTCGTTTCCTCAGAGCGGGCTCCGTTGTGACGCGGAGGGACACGGGCCGAAGGATGCCGCCGGCGCGGCGGTAATTCACGTTGGGTAAAGGCTCGTGAAACTCGGTATCCTCCAGCTGACGGCCGCTAAGAGGGACACCAGAAAGTTGCTCGCCAAAATTGCCGGGCTGAGGTTCCTTCTGTCGCCCCCGTGCATCGCCGCCGGCTTCTCCTCCTCTGCAACGAAATTAAAAAGCTGCGCTACACACGACGGCGAAGGAGGCGGCATGCGGGTAAACATGTGGACCGCTTAATTTCAGATTACTGTTTGACGTAGGTACGAGGAGTTCGGGATCATGATAAGGCATGCGAGGTGGCGCTTGTGTCTATTTGCAGAACCGATGTTCCGGCGGGCCACATCAAAGTTTTTGCACAGTATTTTGTTGGAAAGTTCCATTTTAGAAGTTGTACGCGACACGCACGCACAATGATACAACAGATAATATCAAATTGTAAGATCAGATAATATTGAATTGTTGGGCTCCATCAATACTGAACTGCTGTACCAGACACAATCTCTTCTTCACCACTCCACCTAGTTGATTTGTGACATCACATCACAATAATTATTCTTTATATTAAGTTTTATTATGTTTTTGGTAGTGCAAGGATAAATTGTCAGTAAGGTATATCTTGTTAGGGAATTTAGTAAATTTCGCTAGAAATATAACACATTTTTTAATAGCACATTTCAGTTGCTGAAATATAAATGACGCATATGAAATAAAAGAATAATAAGTTACTGCAAAATATCGATCTTCAAAACAATTAATATTAAAAAATTCTATAATAATTTTTATTAAAGTTCTCTCCGTGTATTTAAGATCAACATATTTTAAACATATTTTAAATAAGTGTTAAATTTGCTCTTCATATTTGCTGTACGAGAGTCTTAAATTTATAGTGAACCTATATAAGTGAAAAAACAAGTGCGACAATTTAAACAACAACAAAGAAAAAAAATGTCGCTATTGTCTTAGATATTCATGCCGGAAAATGTTTTAAAAATATACAGATGGGCCATGGAAAGCAGTCACGTTCACGAGAAAGTGTTTTTCTCAAATGGAGTGGCGAAACCCTCCCGCGAGAACAGAGAGGACGTTTTAAACGGTCTCAGACTGCCCGACGTCCTTGGTTGAGATCTAAGGAGTGAAGCGTGGATCATTTCATTCTTCTTGCCGTAGAAAATGCCTCTTGACAATCCGGTCACGTGCATGACGCTTCCCAGTTGTCACGTGCACCGACGGAGACTCGACAAACATTGAATGAAGAATATCTGTCGAACTTTGCGAGTTCTCGTCAAGAGACGTTTACCCTCTGTTCTACATCATCCTGAATTTAAGTTACTGCTAATTGCAAAGTTTAATACGTAATGCTGACTTTTCCAAGAGTTCCCGGTGAAATTTTCTAGGGCGAGGAGAAATCTTCTCAGGACTGATCTCTCTACGCTAGCTCTAATATATTAATTTCTTTCATGCTCTTTAAAAGCTTACTTAGGTAAAGAAAGTAATATAAGATTCTCTGTAAACAGACTAACACACAGGATACAGGCCAATATTCCAGGAAACTTTCCGCGCTGATGTCGTAGCGCGCGAATATCAAAAGCGTATCAAAAAATTAAAATAAAATTCGAGGTATCATCGCGTCTGAAAAAGAGGAAAATAATAGGTAAGTTTGATAATGCCCCACGGGCTATCGCGTTATTACGTAGTTGCTAAGCGCGTTAAAGTGTAAGTAAAGCCGGCCTGAAGTTACGCCGTACTTTCGAAAAATTGCGTCGAACTTGGTCCTCGCGGCAAACTCGGGGGTAAAAGTTTCGTCGTTAGAGAGGCGGTCGTACAATTTTGAGCCGCCCTTCTGTTATCGCGGACGAGCTACAGCGATGAATGCGTCTACGAGAGCCGCTAAATCCGATCGTAATGAGCTTCCTACAACCGTTTAATTGTTCGGCTCTTACTCTAATGAATATTCAAGTTTCGCGGAACTTCCTCAGGCCGATCGGCGCCGATCTTCGTCGGCGTAACTGGAGCGAGTCAATTACTACGGCGTTATATGCCGGAGAGAGAATCGCGGATATATTCTATCTACCGGCACACACTTACGAGCAGGCCGTAATCTTGTTTCAGGCGGATTTTTGGCAATCGTTGTTCCGCGAGCGTGTCGCTATGATTAGACGATTTAATATGATGTTTAATATCCGCCCACGGTCAGTAGATTTTTTTATCTTTTAGCGTTTACACGTGCACGTCCGCAAACATCGTTGGCGTACGACATCAGCTAACGCGCGTTTTCACGAGATTTTCTCGATGTATACCAACTGTTCGTTGACTGTTTGTCCATAGTCCCTGTGCAAATAGTCACTACATTTTGTTTTCCATCGAGAGAGCGAGGAGCGGAGTACAACACATTCGTGTGTGTTTAAAAACACAATTTCAATCAGTTTGTCTGTTCGCTACGTCTCTAATCTGTATCTGTACGTAATTTCCGGAAAAAAAGCTTTAGTATATAGTATCATTGAAAGGTGCACAGAGGAAACTACTATGATTGTTATATTTACATACTCTATGGTTAGGAAGAAAATGTAATTTTCTTATGTATGTAATTTCAAATTAGTTAACCCTTTCAGGTCCACTGGAAACTTTAATTGCCAGAAACATATTTAGAAGTCGATAACTCCGTGAAAAAATTGAGATATTTGCCGGGTTTCTGCAACCTTTTATGTATAGGCTGTACACTGAGAGAAGAATTTAGTAAATATTATCAAAATTTTGTTACTATTACTAAATTATAGACGTAAATATAGCGGGCCAAAGCTATGGCAATACTTATTAATTAATTTAGTTCTGTAAAATAAATTATTTATTTGACCGAAGTAAAATTTATTTGCTTCCAGAATATATTTGGTAAATAAAACTTATTGAATAGTTGAGCAAAATAAGCGATTTTGTAATAGTTACGAAATTTTTGATAGGTTCAACCAATTGTCTGTAATAATAGATATTGAAACGATGTAATAGCTGCAAATGAATGAATTTTTCGTTGTGCTGCAACAAAACATACTTATACTGGTAACAAAATAGAACTCGTACCTACTGAATTTTTTATTATATGGGATATAACGATTTCATAACAATTATCAAATATCTGTTCATAAATCAAGTAACTGTAATATATTTTATATTAAATATTTAACATTAAGTAACTATTACTAAATTATTTAATTGATGTTACTGTGAATGCAATTACATCATACTCCCGATCTATTAAATATTTGGTAATTATTATCATATTTAGTATTAGTTACTAAGGATTCAATGAATTTCTGTAACTAAATGCAGTTTGTTATAGTTACCAGTCTTTTCTCTCAGTGTATATATAGGCGGAAAATAACATTAATATTTTACAGCAGTCATATTTAGCCAAATGATGTTATGTTTTCTCTCTTTCTGTATATTTTATTTTTCTTAATATAAATTGATATAAAGTGATATTTTATTCGATTATTTTCAAAAGTTAATTATTTCAAAAGTTTCATAATTTTTCAAAATTATTTTTCAAAAGTTTCTCCGAATAATATGGAGTTAAGCTTAATCATAAGTTAGAATTAACGAGAGAATAGCCATGTGTTCCTCACCTTCGATCACGTGGACCACGACGGCGGCCGCCTTTGCGTTGCTAGGTACGCACGTATAGTTACCATTGTGCGTAAGTTTCGTTTTGTTCACCGTCAAGATGGAGCCGCTCGGCGTGAGCTTGACGTCGACGCCAGGCTCCTCGTCGTAATTTATCATGCGGCCCTGACGATACCAGAAGACGTAAAGGGGCTTTTCCGTAGCCGCCATCAGTTGGCATTCCAAACGGAGACTTGAGCCTTGCTTCACATGTAAATCAGGCGCACCTGGTATTATCGAATACGCCTCCGTGATTTTTAAACGGGCGAAGTTTCGTTGCACAGGATGCGATGTCACCTGCAATTACGATATAGCAGTACCTTTAACCCTTCATGATGCAATAAGGTAAGCGACACGGATTAAAAAAAAGATATAAAGATTATACAATCTTTGTTGTCATCGATACACAACTCGAATCAATTGTTTTTCCACTATAAGGCTCTGCTATCTCGCCGTAGAAAGTTTGAGTTGACGTCTAGCAGTGTCGAGAACACGAAATAACTGTATCAGCGTAGCTGATTGGCTGACACTAGGCCAGGCTCACACTAGGCCTCGCCTGACACCTCAAAAGTTACTTGCGTTTTATCGCGTTATTTTTTAATTTCTCCGTGAAGTGTATATATTATCGTGATTCTCATAACCGTAAAATGTGCAACAAATTCAGTGATACTAGTGATACATTATGAAAATCGAGAAATTAAATGTGTTCATACATGCTAATCTCAGCTGTCACAAATCACCGTGACAGCCGAAAAATGTAGCATTATTTCACGAAATTATTTTACGATGCTACATGATATATCAGCCAGATATCTGAATTTGCTGTACTTTGTACAGGTTTCAGGATTAGGAAAATATTTGGTTCTTCAGGGAAAAGTAAAAAATAAAGCAATAAAACGCAAGGAACTTTCGATCATTTCTCGCTTCTGACGTCATCAAACCAATATGGCCGAGAAATAGCAGAGCTTTAAATGTATATATACATTCTCAAAAATAATTCTTTAAGAAAATTAGACGAAAAATTACAAGTAATTATTGTTTTGAGGATTTAAATAATTTGGAAATGTTTGATTTTATAGATCGAACTTGTATAAAACTGTAGAGACAATAGACTTATACTGCGATTCTAGACAAAATCGTAAAACTCTTAACTTGTTTTCGTAACACTCGTAAGGACTTATGAGTAGGTCTATAATTCTATGCGGACCGTATGTCATATAATAATGCATAAATATCTACGATTGTTTTTGTTTTTTTCATAAGCTACGACTTTACGGTTTTACGATTTACTCGTATATTTGCTTAGAATTGCAACATTATACTATAATTCTAGACAAAATCGTAAAACTCGTAACTTGTTTTCGTAAAACTCGTAAGAACTTACGAATAGATGTACAATTCTATGTGAACCGTATGTCATATGATAACTCGTAAATATTTACGATTTTTTTATATTTTTTTCGTAAGCTACAATTTTACGATTTTACTATTTACTCGTATATTTGCTTAGAATTGCAGCATTAAATCCAATGCCTATGGAACATGATTTAAAATTGTTTTTCTTGCGAGAACTCATGAATGCCACTAAGTTTGTTCTAAAACAAGAAATTTGACTCTCGGTTCCGTTGCAACGGTTAGTTTTTCCAGACAGATTCGATGTTATTTTCCGAGCGTGTTGCTAGAAAATTCTCAATACGGTTTGTTCAATCAGATAAACTAAATGTCAGCTCATGTCAGTCATATAATTGCATTATATTTGACAGTTCCTACTGGAATTCCAGCAATATACTTCGAAAATAACACTGAATCTGTCTGCAAAAATCGTGTAGCTGGTTAACAAATCGTCAAGCTCGCAACGGAGCACGATGAGAATAAATTTTTTCGCTTTAGAACAAACTTAGCAGCATGCATGACACCTCGCAAAAAGAACAACTTCAAATCACACTCGGTAGGCATCGGGCTTTAGACATAATAGATAAGCAGCGATCTCGGTTACAAAAGACAAAAGTGATTTGATTTGAGCGAGAACTGAGGCTTCGTCTGGCCGCAGCCCTTAATATTACGTAAAAAATAAGTAAAGGTAGACGTAACGATGTATCTTGTATATGTCTCGTTTTGAAGATATTTAGAAGGAATAAAAGAGAGTTTGTGAAAGCTGATGGAAAGCTAGTAAAAAATCATCGTCAAATTCGGATAATTTAGCGAATCGTTACATTTATTACTTCGATCGCCCGATTAAAAGCTAGTAAAATAATTTGGTCTGACAAGCGAATATCTTTCAAATATTCCAACGAAAAAATTCTTAAAAAAGAGATAATCGCCCATCAATCAATTATGTAATATTATTGATATAAATTGTGCTCGTCATTGAGAAAATAACGTTGATTATCTTTTAGAAATTCTGCTTGAGGTTAAAGACGCGATACATCTCCATGACCTTAAGGGGGGAAATCCAATTAGAACGAGGAAAAATAAGCTATTTTCAAGAATTTTTTTGTAGGAGAAAGAATTTTTCTATATTTTTCAAACTTAAACATTTATTTATATATGTTTTGGACTGTCCATACGTATTTTTTTTTCCAAAAATATTTAAAAATGGCGGACATATGAAGCATCCCATTTGGCAGGTACGCGTGCGAGTTGCTCAGCTGCTGGACAAATGGCGTCCGTGATATTGATCCTATAACAGGCAGCGAAAAAATTCTTATTATTTATACCCATAATTCGTAATTGAACCTAAAAAAATTGAAAAAAGTCAAAAATTTTGAATATGAAACGCTTATGAAAATAAATTTCCATTTTTTGACGTTTTCTCTGCACAATTTTTGCAATAAATAAGTGATTTTTTATTATAATTTTCACAAACATTTAGGTTCACCGACATTGTACTGATGTCATGAAGTTGTGTGCGAAAGTTCAGCGCGATCGGTTGAATAGTTTTTAAATGAGAGTTCCAGCAGTGCAAAAAAGTACAGTTTTGAGAAAAACGTGTTTAAAGTTTTGACAAGTAAAAGATACAAGATATCTATAATTTACCTCTTAGTCAGCAATCCCGGCGCCATAGAACAATCCTTCTGCTTCCTCGAAGAACTCGTTCTGCTCCAATAACTGCTCTCTTCTGGCCTTTCGAGCTTCTTTAGAGTTGAAAGAGTTGCGCCGCTCCTGTCGAGATACCCGGCGCCCGTCGACGTTCTCAGCATAGTGCTTGGTCTGGCTCCCAATAATTATTTGTAACTCCATCATAATTTGTAGAATGGAAGAATATCCTTCATTGAAGACTCCAGCAGCGATGTAGGATGCAATTTCAACTATTTTCAGCCCAGAATTAAGATGTTTTGGAGCTAAACGCCAAATCGTAGAATTGAAACTTTCATTTGAATTCTGCGTATGACTGCCCAAGCATCTCTGAAGTAATTCTTCCTTAGATAAATCTTCATAAATTGGAAGAATGTGTTTTGCGACTGTTGGATCGAGTGGAGGAGGGTGCTCAAAAGAATCCAAATTTGCTTCAATAGCTTTTTCTTTCTGCCACTTACACCAGCTGTCTTCGCCGGGCGGGCAGTATTCGTGCTGTGGCTTCTCATCCGTAGAGATCAAATGGTAATAAGTGGCTATAATACTTTTTTTCATTCCCTCAATACTATTCGCATTTCTTCTAATTGCCAGACCATAGTACGTTGTGAGCTTTTTAATTAAAGCATCCGTTAGTTTGCCCTTACCACCGAGTTTTTGTGTTTTTTTTATATTTCGGAGCCGAGTGCCCATTCTTTTCTCTACGTGGCCAATGCATTCGCTTTTTGCAACTTGAAATTCATCACCGTAAGGATTCTTATCTAGAATGGCCTTGAAAGTTTTGGAGTCTCCGTCTCCAATATAATTACCATATTTAACGCCGTACTTTTCCTCTGATCTTAAAAAGATTTCTGTAATCGCATCGACCTCCATTTTTCCGGCTGAGCCCTCGTGATTTTTTGTACACTCTTCCTCGTGATTTATATACCACTCTTCGTATTCTGGAGTGTTCACCTTTTTTTTCCAAAATGTGCATGCATGGCAATAGCTACTTTTGATAACTAAATCGATGACTTTGCCCGAATAGTAGCCTATGACCGTTACAACTCCGTACAGCGATTTGAATCCACGTTTTTTCCACGAGCCATCTCCAGAGACTTTCAAATCTAAAATAGACCTCTCATGTTCTTCATTGAATTTTTTTTCTTCTTCGATAGCTTTCTTGCAGAGACTTTCAAAAACAGATTTTGTACAGGAGTGAATATACGTGATGATATTATTATACGTGCTCTCATTCATTCCTTTACAAATGTCCATGAGGTTGCAGAATAAATTAATACCCTCTCTGCCAACACCTAAGAGTCGCATAACAAACACCATCCGACGATTCACTTCGTATCCAGTGTTGATTAGTGGTCCTGAATTGATGTTTCTCTGACCACAGCGACAAAGTAAAACTATCTTGAAACCGAGGCCTCGATTCCCAGCTTCTTCAAACTTTACATTCTGTTTACAAACACGACAAACAAGGAGCTCTGTCAAGGCTGTAAAAACGGTGAATATTTCAATCAAACGATAGCCATGCAATGGATTCCAGTGAATATCTTCAGCACTAGCATTGGAGAGTTTTCTTGCACTCGTACTTTCACATCCTTCATCTTCACTCTTTTTATTTGAAAACTGATTACCATGGAACTTTCTTTTGCGTGGTTTCGATTGTTTTGGTTCGGCGTGTGTGCCTTTCGGATAGGACATTTCGAATTTGCACTGTCGTTTTGTACAGGCCGAACTTCGGAGCTAAACTGAAAACCGGTTCTGCTCGATGCCAGCGCCAACGGACCCAACGGTTTCGACTAAACGTAACAATAGAAATAAAAGCCATCTACCAGGGGTGCGTTCCAAAACCTACAGTAAAACTATAATTACATCTCTATACGTTTTGGATCGCAGCCCTGAAAGGTAAAATCCCCGCTCCGGGTGAGTATACCTGCTGCGTGCTATTAGAGCCTCGACGCTGCTCAAGAGATTTGTTGCGCTCGGAGGCCATAACTTCCGAACGGCTGCGAATTTCGATTTAAAACGTTGGGAACATATTCTTACAATGTTAAATAAACATTTTATGCAAAAAAAAAAATTCGATTTTTTGAAAGTTCTAATTGGATTTCCCCCCTTAAATACTCGCTTGTGAGGCGTATAATTGACCACTTTGACATTTTAGTTGACATTTTCGACATGTGGGACCTTTGACGAAAGTCTACGGAACCGTGTATTAAAAGTTATTCGAGCTGCTAAACACGAGCAAAAACGCTAGACGCTTTTTTAAACAGTCTCACTATATACAGATTTAATCTTATTCTCGATATAATTCTTCCCACTCTAAAGTAAGAGCTAAACAACCTAAATCGAATGGTATTGTTTACAGAACGTGGAAATAATGTATAATACAATCACAAATATACTTCATCCGGAAACGAAAGATTCGTCAAAATACCTGACATTCGTATATGCCGGCATCGTCCACTGTTACGGTGCGTATCATGAGTGCCCAATCAGTGCTTGAGTGCCTGACGAAGAATCTCTTATCAATTGAGTGCGTGGTGGTGCCAACCGTTAACAATTGTCTGTCTCTTCGTCTCACCCATGTGATCTATAACAAAAAAAAACAAGGATATATATTAATGCATTATTTCCAAAATCAGGAAATAATGCGTTACTAGTAACTCCGTGCGCGCGCGCGTTACAAGTTACTTTTCCCTAGTAACGACTTGGTAACTGCGTTATTCTTTTTAGTAGTAATTGTAACAGTAACACAATTATATTTTTTAAGTTTTTTGAGACCGTAACGAATTAAACAATTATTTTAATTGTTACTTTATATGTATATTTCAAATATATCGTCAAAAGATACTCATCGAATAGTTATGAGTTTGTTCGAAAACTCTGGCAATATATACCGAAAATGTATAATATATTTATATAATGTGAATTATAACACATTTTCAATACTGTTATCACATTTTGTTGGAACGTAATCCAATTGCTTACGTAAAAAATACCGTTCTTTTAAAACCTTGATTACCAAAGTATTAAACAATTTTTTATTAAATATAACATAGCGTTTTCAAGTAATACATCAATATATTGATTATTCAGTGTTGGAAGCTCCGTATTGATACCACAGAGAGAGACAGAAAGAGAGAAATCGAAAGAGAGAGAGAGAGAGAGAGAGAGAGAGAGAGAAAATATCTTTACAATGATGAAACATTAACTTCTATTAAAAGTTAAGAAAAAATTTTTGTAAAATTCAATGAATTTACATATTTAACTAAAACTTAATAACAATATAACTTATGATTCTTAACTTGGATTTGTATTAAGCAAAGTAACGAAAATAGCCATTATTCGTTTCTTTCTGAGTAACGGTAAGAATAACGAATTACTTTTCGAAATTAATAACGATAATAGGAACGAGCTACTTTTTGAAATCGCGGTAACACTAACTAATGTAATCGCGGTAACGAATAACAGTAACTAACTATTAAAAAAAAATAACTTTCTCAACCCTGATTTTTTCAACATGCATTTTAAAGTAAGAAGTAATCATTCGGAAAGACATTGTTGCTTAATTATCCAAACTTATAAAGACATACTTACGTGAATATTTCGAAATATCATGAAAAATGAAAATTGTTCAATTGAATAATACAAGATAAAATTCAGTAGATAAAATGCAAAATACTTTTCAAGTAGAGAGGGAAAGAAAATAATTTCGTTTATAAATCTTTGTTAGCAACTTGACGGGTCTTACGGAATTGTCAATGACCTTCAAATAAATAATCATAGTTATATTATAATTACTTATCCTTATAAGATGCAAAGAAAATTGTTGGATAAAAGCTATTTGCGTGACATAGAAACCCAAGGCAGTTAGGCAATTTAGGGTAATAATACATAGGAAACAATATGCGTCATATGAGGCAATGTGAACGAGAAGCCTCGACGCGCATCGAATATCAATTATCACGCCCATTAGAGTACCCTAATTTCAAGCTAATTTTCATTCCCTAGTGTACTGACCACGAAGCCATGCTATGCTCAATATATCAAATAGCGATTATATCGCATAATGTTTTCACGTAACGGTATTGTCAATTTCCTTCATTTCTGTATTTAATCAGAGAATTTAGATATACATCACACAAATATTCTCTTTCTCCTCTCTCTCTCTCTCTCTCTCTCTCAATTTTTATATACATGTACTTCACATGTTTAAAATAAATAATGCATGTAAAGTTTATATTGCGATTCAGAAATAAAAGTCTAAAAGTCAGAAATAATATAAAATAAATTATAAACTATATGATAGTCTACTAATGATATGAAACTATAAACAAACTATTATATATGAAAGCTCATTTGCTTTATCTTATATCTTTACACTTAATATATATATATATATATATATATATATATATATATATATATATATATTTCTTTTCTGTAAAAAAACTTTGTAGAGAAACATATTAGAGAAACTTTATTTATGGCTCTTGTAATCAAATTAAATTATTATCATATCCAATATTCTTGTACATGCAGAGCATTACGGATAAGAATATATAAAAATCTGCTATTACTCTTTATGTATGCGTTTTATCGCCTATCTCAAACGTAGCGTGTTACATTAAGGGACCTCATAACGAATGGGCAGTATACATTGGCTTTATATCACGTTCGCCGCACCACACAATATACGAGCGACATTTATTGGCTACATCGATTCATTTAGGTTATTTCTTTCCGTATGTTTCCCGGGTGCTATCAAAGAATATATATTTTTACAGGATATCATATAAATGTCAAATATTTTTGACAATAAATTCTTCTTTTTACTACCGAGCATATCAAATCTTCCTTGTGTAATGATAAGTATTTGTGGTAATAAATAATTATATTCTCCAAATAATTAGGTTGCACTAAGAACTGTTAGCTATAAAATAGAGCACAATACTCTCCAAATGTCATATTGTCGCTTTGTAGTCATATTGTCATTTTGCAGCCAACAACTCTAAGTGTAGTTTAATTACTTTTAATTAGAAAGTTACTATTACCATCGCTTTAATTCAAAGCTGCCGTAGACGTTTTACGCGATGCAGCTCCAAAATCAGGACGTACTAGATGTCGCTATCGACCCGAACTATCTAACGAGCTACATAATGATCCGCTGCACGTACTCTTAGCCGAATGTGTCTCGTTAAAATGCAATAGGTCACGGAAGTTGCCAAAGCATCGTAATGTAAGTAACCAATTGTAGAGAAGAATTCTGCAGGAAATGTGCATAACACAACGAAAGAAATACATGCATTTAACATGGTGTCGGCTTTCATCTTCATACTTATTTCCATTACATTGACGAATACAAACTTTTCCCGACGTGAGCTTCCTTTGAGGTAATAAAAATTTAAAATATATAAAGGAAAAGACATTCTACAAGAAAGTTTGAATACGATTAAATAAAAAATGAGAACATTCGACCGTGTGAACAGTATTTGTATAAAATCCACTTTGGAACGTGTGAGAACTCACTGAACGCGTGAACATATCGAGTACATATATGCTTGTTACGAGATATCGCGACACCATTTTTCCAAAATGAAATTTCGATCCGACGAATCAGAAGACGTCACACTGCCAATCCAATCACTTTTTATATCCGAACATGAGATCGGGACGAACTTCATCATAACCGTCTTAGCGCGCTCAGTCGGAACATAATTAGACCGATTTCACGTAATACATCCTGAGGAAACCAATTCCCAAGGATATGACATTTCGGATACCGCCAAACCCGGTAATCCGGAGTGCTTGCTGTAATCCTGGATTCCAGCCTGAAAAGGACCTATCTACGGCGCACCGGCGTGTAACGGCGAATCCAATATGGCAAGAGCGTATGTGTACTTGCTACGTCGCTAGTCTTTGACTGGTGGAAGTTATCGGGTAGTAGAGTTTGCCTCAATCGGCATGGAGTTACGAGAACTTCCCCGGTGTCTTCCCGAGCAGCCGGGAAGACAAAGACGGCGCGAATTCCTTCGGCGTCTGCCGTTCGGTTTCAACTAACTCCTAGCACGGATACGCACACATACGGATTGTTAGGGAGAGAGCACCATCTCCGCCTAGCTGCTGAGTACGTGGACTCCATCCACTGCTTGAGATACTTGCGTAGCCAATTAAGGCAGCTCCCACGTCCATTACGAGACCGAAGCGACTGAGTCACGGTAAAGTTCTCAAGGAGAGCTAATGTATGTTACAACAAAGATTACATCTGAAAGATGACTTGATCTATTTCCGTTCTATTTCCTAAGTGTATTACATACACCGAGAGAACGATTTCCTTTAGATTTAATAAATCATATTAAATTTTAAGGAATATATTTTGGAGAACAGTGCAAATAAACACCAATCTTTGATTCAACAAGTATGATTGTTTAACTTTTACAAATAATTTTATTGGCTCAAATAATTTATGGTTTAGTCAATGAAGAAAACCGTTTCACTTAATTTTATTATTTTATTAAAAGAACTTTAATAATTCTGTTTAAACAATCTTCAGGAAAGTTGACATTTCTCTTTTCGCATTATCGAGAGTCTGTCTTTTTATTACTTCATTGTGTGCGCTCTCCTTCACTCGTAATTCTATCCAAATATCCCATCATCCCGTGATGCAGTCACCCGTTCTTTTATTGATCATTTGTGTTACTTGACTTCATTGACTGTATAAAAATTAAAAATTTCAACTAGCTCTTACAACATGCTAGCATTATGCATATAATGCATTCTCATAATGTTCAAAAAACTTTTTCGTACCATATTTACTGGTAATCGTTGAAAAAATGCAAGAACAGTCGATATATGATGGATATTAACAGAATGTACATTAGCAAACTAGCGAAGCTATTGTTATTCCCGTATTTTTAACCAAAACATTATGTTGGTTATTCCAAACAATACATTAGAGTGAGGAGCGAAACGTTGGTAGGAAACATTGGGAAACTTTAGGAAAAGCAAGACGTTGGGAAACGTGAAGAGCGAAAGCAATAATATGTTCAATCAAATAACATGATCTAATTCAACGAGACAAAAGTTAAAAAATATAATCAAGTAATATCTTATTTGTATAAAAATATAATCAAGTAATATCTTATTTGTATAGTTAAAAATTTTTTTTCTTTAAATAATACTGGTTTTTCATAAAACAATATTGTTTAATTTAATGAGATAAATAATATTTGATATAAAACTAGGTGGTTTGAGTCTCCAACAAGTGCAAATAAAACAAATTGGAATATTAAAATCAAAAGCACCATTATCTCTGCATTATTATTACCCCAAAAATTACGTATCGTCGACGCGAAGCTGTATTTTTTCGTTCTCGATAAAAAATAAGATTATATCATAAATCGAAATTATTTTTTCTTATTATTGTCTATATTGATTATGCTCCAATAGTTCTTTTTCCAACAGCATCTTTTCTCAGAAACTTTGCGGTACAATTTTTATTAACTTTGAACTGCGAGAAAAATCTTTATATTTTTTATAACTTTTTACAGGTTTTTCATCGAGAGTTTTATTAGAAGCTCACTGCTGTTT